GTGTCCAAACTTTTTGATGTCGCTGGCGGGCAGCACTCACGGCTTATGTCACTGAGCGCTGCATACTGTGACACTGTCGTGTGGGAGAGGTCTGTCAGCTCTGGACCCTCCTGTTCTACACCTAAGCGCCCGGTTCCGAATGAGGAACCCGCGAACTGCGAGGAGCCATCCAGCGCCGTGGCCCATGTCCTAAGCCTGTCAAACCGCTATGCAGCCCTCTCCACTGACATCCCAGCCCCCTCAGCAGAACCCCTGGACTCTGCAGCGTACTCTGCCGTTCGTGGATCCAGGTCCACTGCGAGAAAAACGCTCCTAAAGGAAGCCGTCCTCAGACGAAAGAGTGGTCATTCCCCTTCTCTGACCCCAGTGCATCACCACCACTTACCTTCACCGGGTCAGCAGCAGCGACCCGAGCCTGCTCCTCACGCCGCTCCAGCGTCCCCGAGCACACAGCGTGGGTTGCCCGGAGCTGAGAATCAACACCCCCGCTCCCCTCCATGTGTTCAGCAGCGCCCTGGTTCGGACTCATCCCTGGATGAGCCCGCTGGTTCCGGCCATGGACACCGAGCGCCTTCTCCGCGGCTACGTCCACTCTTCGCCCCGACTACTTTGATTGTTGGAGATTCCATCGTGAGACACGTCCGCTTTTTTAACGCGGTCACTCAGTGTTTTCCCGGAGCCACTGTACCAGACCTGCTCATCCGTCTCCCTCCTCTGCTTCAGTCCCTGCCTGATACCATTTCAAAGGTAATCGTGCATGTGGGGATCAACGACATGAAGCTGCAGCAGTCCGAGGTCACAAAGAAGCATTTTATGGATCTATTCCGTCTTCTCCAGTCCTCTGGGTGTGTGTGTTTTTATCTCTGGTCCAGTCCCGACTGTAAACCGGGGAGACTGCTTGTACAGTCGCGTTGTGGCGCTGAATATGTGGCTCCAGTCTACATGCAGCACTTTTAACTTTGTTTTTGTGAACAACTTTGGCCTGTTCTGGAAGCGTCACGTGGCCTATCGTCCAGACGGTCTGCACCCGAACAGATACGGCACCAGTTTATTGATGGACTTTTTACGCCATGTTGTTCAGTGCTCCCCGAGGGGGGCGTGACTGTTTACATCCGAGGCCCCTCGGCCCCCACTACCACCTTCCTCCTCCACTCCAGCACCGGGTGAGTACTGTGGTGCAAACACTGACCCCTGTCCGTCTGGCAGTGTAATACCAGTCCTGCCACTGAACGGTGCTTACTCAGCCATGCATCTGGAACTTAACAAAGTAAAACAGAGTTCACTTTTTAAACCAATAGAGACTGTGTGTGTTCCTCGCACCGGCTCAGAAATGTGTTTTAATTTGAATAAACACAAATATAACAGAAGGACAGCAGTTAGACGGTCCAACTCAGGAAATCTAATTCCAATTCTTTGTAGTCAATCAACTAAACCCACTGACACTGACATTATTTTTAACCTTGCTCTGCTTAATGTCAGATCACTATGCAATAAATCCTTTTTAATTAATAATTTTATCTGTTCTTATGATCTTGACTTTATGTTTATGACTGAAACTTGGCTTGACCATAATACAGAAAATGCAGTTTTAATAGAAACAACACCACCAAATTTCAAATTTGAATCAGAAATTCGAGAAAATAAAAGAGGAGGAGGCACAGCAGCAGTTTTTAAAGATTGTATTGTCTCCCATAGAGTACCTCTTGGGAAATTTTCCTCATTTGAGTATGTCTCTTTTAAAATAGAGCAAAAACAATCTTCTATTCTTATTATTGTTGTGTACAAGCCGCCACAGTCATGTCATAGTTTCACTGATCATTTCACCGAGTTGCTTTCAGTTGTGTGCACAGACTTTGATAGTTTAGTCGTCATAGGTGATTTTAATATACATGTAGATAACGTTAATGATAGATACGCGAAAGAGCTGAGCTCTGTGCTGGAAACCTTTGGTCTCACTCAGCATGTGAGTGGCCCCACCCATAGCAGAGGACACACTCTCGATCTGCTAATTACTAAAGGGGTTAATATCTCAAATGTAAATGTGGCCAATGTTGCTCTGTCAGATCATTTCTGTGTATTTTTTGATATGTGTCTCAATAGTAAAGCACGAGCTGAATCCTCAATTGTTAGAAGAAGAAGACACATAAACAAAAATACAGGTGAACTTTTCATGGGGATGATAAACTTTGATAACACGTTGTGTTCTACTGTGGATGAATTACTTAACTCTGTCACCTCTAGTGTTTTGGATGTTCTGGACACGATTGCTCCTGTAAAGGTCAAAATTGTTACAAATAAGCAAAAGGCGCCATGGACAAAAGCAGACTCTGTCAGGGCACAGAAGAGAGAGTGCCGGAGAGCCGAGCGGAAGTGGCGAAAGTCAAATCTCCAAGTTGACCATGAGATCTTCAAAGATGCATTGTGCAAGTTCAACAGTGTGCTACGTAGAACCAGGGAAACTTATTTTTCCGAAACAATCGAAGGTTGTAGTGGCAATCTACGCGTTCTGTTCTCAACGGTAAATAAATTGACAAATCCCCCTGTTAAGATGCCATCAGAGCTTACCTCCAAAACCAAATGTAATGAGTTTGCAGAGTTTTTTAATGACAAAGTCCAAGGCATCAAAAATGCCATCACCTCCACAGTAGAAATTACAATCCAACAGCCAGTGAAGCTTTTTGGGCTGACACACTTTACACCAGTACAAAATGAAACTGTCCAAATGATAATTACAAGTCTGAGTTCTTCTACATGTAGCCTGGATGTATTACCTCCTAGATTTCTTAAATCTGTTCTGAGCAGTCTTTTACCTTCACTCATGCATATAGTAAATATGTCTCTTGAATCTGGAACATTCCCAATGGCCCTGAAAACGGCAGTCATCAGACCCCTCCTAAAAAAGAGGAGTCTGGATGCCTTGGCACTTAAAAGTTATCGGCCCATTTCAAATCTGCCTTTCATGGGTAAAATTCTAGAAAAAGTTGTCTATCAACAACTTACAGAATTTTTAATAATCAATCACTCTTTTGATATGTTCCAGTCTGGTTTTAGACCCCACCACAGCACAGAGACCGCTCTAGTGAAGGTAACAAATGACATCAGACTTAACACTGACGCAGGAAAAGTCTCAGTTCTTATCCTGTTAGATTTGAGTGCTGCTTTCGACACTGTCGATCATGGTATCCTCATTCAGAGACTTGAGGACTGGGTTGGTGTTTCTGGAACAGCCCTAAGCTGGTTTATATCCTACCTACAGGACAGAAAGTATTTTGTGGAGATCGGAAACTGTGTCTCAGACCATCTGGCCCTGACCTGCGGAGTGCCACAGGGCTCAATCCTGGGGCCTCTCCTGTTTAATATTTACATGCTGCCTCTGGGTAGGTTAATACACAGTAATAACGTGTCCTATCACAATTATGCTGACGATACTCAGGTCTATGTGTCCCTGACAGCAGGAGAACATGGACCAGTGGACTCGCTCCTTCACTGTATCCAACAGATCAGTGATTGGATGCAAAATAACTTTCTCCAGCTAAACACAGAAAAAACTGAAATTATTGTTTTCGGACCTCAGAAACAAAGAGAGAGCGTTATCTGCCACCTCCAGTCTCTCTCCCTGAAACCCTCAACTCAGGTCAGAAATCTAGGAGTAATAATGGACTCAGACTTGAATTTCAATAGCCACATATCATCTGTGACATCATTAGCTTACTTCCACCTAAGAAACATTGCTAAAATTAAAAACATTGTGTCTAAAGCAGACTTGGAGATTCTTATCCACGCATTTGTCTCCAGTCGATTGGACTACTGCAATGGCTTGTTCACAGGTCTCTCTAAACAAGCGGTAAAACAGCTGCAGTACATCCAAAATGCTGCAGCTCGAGTCCTGACTAGAACCAGGAAGTACGACCACATTAGTCCGGTCCTCAGGTCTCTGCACTGGCTTCCTGTGGCTCAGAGAATAGATTTTAAAGTAGCTTTACTTGTGTACAAGTCTCTCCATGGCCTCGCACCAGGGTACATCCGCGACATGTTGGTGCCATATGAACCAACTCGGGCTCTGAGGAGCACAGGGACTGGACTTCTGTTAGTGCCAAGAGTCGGAACTAGACATGGGGAGGCTGCGTTTCAGATTCATGCAGCTGGAGTCTGGAACCGTCTTCCCGAGAGTGTGAGACAGGCGTCTACTCTAGCAGTTTTTAAAACTGAACTGAAAACAGTTCTTTTTAGCTGTGCATACAAGTGAATGATTTTACATTTGTTTTTATCTTTAATCTTTTTAATGCGCTATGATTATTTATGATTATTTATGATTGTAATCCCTTGTGTGATTTTAATTTTTTACGGTTTTTAACTACTTGTGTGATTTTATATATCTTGTGCTCTTAATCTGTCTTTTTATGTTTACTTAAATTCTAATGTTTGATGATTTATGCATGATGTTATATGGGTTGTGAGGCGCTTTGCGTTGCCTTGTGTAGGAAAGGCGCTCTATAAATAAACGTTGATTGATTGATTGATTGATTGAAATTGCGTTGTCACAGTAGCTTGCTTAGTATTCCACAATAAAAAAACATTAAAGTAACAATCTAGAAATAAGAATAATAATAAGATAATATTATGAGAATAGAATAATATGGATAGAAGTACTCAGGAATATATATATCTGTGAATATGTGCAGATTTACAGTATAAATACAGAGATAATACATCTGTTAATACTATATACAAGGACAAAGCAGACGTATTATCTGTATTATAGTGTGTATTATTACCACCACAATGTGTATTTGAACTGTTCTAACCATGTCTAGTATGTTTGAAGCAGTGAGTCTGGTGTTGAGGAAATGGGGAACAGCCCAAAGCACTAGTGCATGTTTTAATAATCAGGAACAGATGAGTTTGGCTTCTGCAGAGTGGATAATTAGAAGAGGCTTGTTTTATTATTTTTGTCATCTGGCTTTTTTTATAACTCTGGCTTGATCTTTCTCTATGTGCAGAGCGACATCCAACAACAAAGTTAAGGAAATGGTTCTGCTAGAGCTAAGCTACTGCAACTCTAACCTGCAGCTACTCATGGGGGAGCTGGAAGGTCTCAACAGCTCCGTGGAGGTCTACCAAAACAAACAGTAAGAACTCTTCCTCTTCAACACATTTATTTATTAAGACTTTATTAAGGACTCACATGCAAGCACAGGATTCATATCTAAGAATAAAACTAACAAAACAGTGATAAAAACACACAAAGTAATCACATGCTCACGTATTTAGAGCGAGTCACATACAGAGAAGGCAGTGACTCCAAAGTATAGAAGTGAACCTGACTGAGCTAATGTGAGGGCAAACCAGGGACTGTACAATGGCTTTGTATTTTAAATGTATTCCTTAGAAGTGTTTTTTATTCTTTTTATTTAGTTTTATTCTCTCTCTCTGACTGTTGCACTGAGCCAAAGCAATTTCCAAGTCTGTGACCTCCTGTTACTTACGTGGCAATAAAAAAGATTCTGATTCTGATTAGGCACCCTCACCACTCTACACATGAGCACAGCACTTTATGTACTTTAAAAAATATGAGAATATTGGCTTGGGTTGAGTAGTGAAGCAAAACAAAACAGAAAAGCACTGAAATAGACATAAGTAAATGTAATGAGACAATTCTGGCTTTTCTCAAGTGAAATCGCCACCAGACTGATCAAAGGTTTTCTCCCAGGATGCAATGCGAGCATGCTTTGCTAAAACATACACAGCAGCTGCTTTCATCCCGTCCATTTTCAAGGCCACAAAATGCAACCATTGTCTTCTTAAAAGCATCCGCAAAAAGAGACTGTGACCAAATGCGTTGGAATAATCATGGCAGATGATCTTGGTAGAAAGGGAAGGGCTCTGGATGTTTCCGGCCTCAAAGTCTACGTGGAGGAGGTTGTTGTTGTTCAACCTGATCAACCGGTTTTTAGACCCAGTGAAAAGCAAAGGAGCCCGGCTGAAAGTGAATGGATTTTCCTCAGAGTTGCTCGATGATCAGTGAATTTAATGTCTCCTAATGGAAAAGTAAGTAAGTAATGTTTATGTGTATAGAGCATTTCACAGACCAAGGTACAGACCCAAAGCACTTTACAATGTTCCTTCCACACACGGTGATGACAGAAGCGAGTCCAGAACACACTGGACCATCAAAGCCTCTGACCCAACACCATCCATTCACTCTCTCATTACATTCATACACTACAAAATAATAATAATAATGCATCGGTTTTATACAGCGCTTTTTTTGGGCTCTCAAATACACTTCATGTCATTATTCTTTCACTCCAAACACGGTGGTGATAAACTCCTGTAGCCACAGCTGCCCTGGGGCACACTGACAGCAGCGAGGCAACCAGTCTGTGCCATCGGCCCCTCCCACCACCACCAACCATCACACACACACCAGACTCATTCTAGACAATGGGGGTGAACAAATGTCTTGTTTTGTTCAACATTTGAATCCCACTGTTGTTATTAGGACTGCATGATTTTTCATTTAAATTAACTAAATGCAATTTTCTTGTCTGGGATTGTGATTTGAAAAGAGAAAAAATCCGAAGCACTCTTGACATTTAAAAAAAACTTTTTTCAGCCATGTTGGGTTTTCTTCAGGGCATGTGTCAAGATTAAAGTCTGTCACACACAATAATTAAAAGCATACCGGTGCAGATGCGTAATTTAAAAAAACATTAAGGTGAGGATAATCAACCAGACTCCACATAAACATACTCGCAAACACATTTTTAAAAGATAAGATATTCTTTTATTCGTCCCACAGTGGGGAAATTTCAGTAAAAAGGTGTTCGGACGCAAAACAAATAACATGTTTGTACACTCATGACTGGAGCTCCTGAAGTTAAAAATAATAAATGCATGGGATTGTGACTTACATAGCCGTTCCACTTACATCTCTTTTGGAGGGTCTTTGAAAGGAGGTTGTTGTGGCGAGGTAACCATGACGACCACTTAAAGAGCCCGATTCAGATTTGCCACGGTAGACGAAGCAGCCGGGCTTAGCAACCCTTTGTGTGTAATGAGTGCTAGCCTATTTGTCTGCTTGCACCGCTCGGTTCAATATCAAGCGGATTATAACTTATTAAACGCAAAATGTTCTCACTAAAACAATCGGGTCAAATGTGTTTATTTTGTGGTATTAATGTCTCAAGGTTTAACCTGGTTTTGACATAAATCATTAGAAGCAGACGACGGACCAATTAGGAAGAGTGCAATTGATTGTTCTTCACACAATTTGCAGTTTGTACTCTTACTGTGTTCATATCTTTACAATTACAATCCAACTTGTTCAGATAATGCCACATTTTCTCGGTAAAGGAAAATTTTGAAGAGCTCAGAAAGTCAAATAATCCAAGGCACTCGTGGTTGATAGTTTAGAAAGTTAAAAAGCCTTTATTTTCTCATGGCTGTAATTTAAAATATGCACCAACGTGTTTCAGCCTCGCTCGGCCTTCTTCAGGATGCAAAATCTACAACCTAAACCAAAATCTGTTTCAAATTACAGCCATGAGAAAATAAAAGCTTTTTAACTCTCTAAACTCTCTAAATCACACATAACCCAAAGTTATTTTGCGTAATCCTAGTATTTAAAAAGGTAAAGAGAATAATTTTCCCAAATTTCGGGCATGGTGGATAAGTGGACTCTTGCCTCTCAGCAAGAAGGTCTTGGGTTGGAGTTTGCATGTTCTCCCCGTGTCTGTGTAGGTTTCCTCCTGGTGCTCCGGTTTCCCCTTCCATGTACAATAGGTCTGGCATGTGCCTCCTGTACTGGCGACCTCGCTCCCATCTCTGTGTGTTGTGACAGACAAATGCCCACAATTGTAAAGCGCTCTGTGAAAGGCGCTATATAAAAAAACATGACATTACTAAACCATTAACCACAAGTGCCTTGGATTGTTTTTAACTTTCTAAGCTCTTCATAACTTGCCTTTATCTGGAAAGTCAACACTCCACTTTTTGTCACTAAGTTAAACCCCTCTTCCAATTGAGCACCTGGTCTTTTACATAATGACACGCTTGTACCAGGCAGCACTTCTTACCCCTTGTTTTTTGAGAATAGATAAAGTCTATTTTATCAAATCTTATATAGATATGTTTTAAAATGTAGGTATTACAGACGCGCCCTTAAGTCCAGTTTGGCTTTTATGACAAACTGTTGTGCTAGAGGCCGAGATCTTGCTTCAGCGCCACTTCGGCTTTACAAGGCCTCTTCAAGGTTTAAGTGTCCTTGTCCGGCAGGATCTTGCTAAAACAAGAGTGGGATAGTGTGGGAGAGTTAAGCTTCTCATCAGTCATGTGTCGGAGAGGAGCACCTGCCTCTGCCTCGTCTGGAGACACAATGAGCACTCTGTAGATCTCTGGCTTTGTCTCTGCCCAAAACTAAACCCAACACAATACGGCTCTAAAGAAAGAAATGCTGATCTGAGAAAGACAAGAGCTGGAGCTTCACATCAGACACTCATTAAAAAGTCCTTCTGCACTTACCTGAAATGGAATCTGTGTGAGCCCTGTCATTAAAAGTACATATTTGCACTCATTTCTTACTGCTTTGAGGGCGTTGGTTTTGCCGTTAGTTTAGGTAATAAATAACACGCAGCATAAGGGGCTCGTGGGTCATTGGTGGTGACCTTGGCAAGAGGAGCTAACATAAGCCTGTTAGAAGGGCAAAGGTTCCTTACCCTTTTTACCTTTGGTTTCTGTAGAAATGGGATGAGGTTTTCAAAGTGGGGGTAGAGACGTTTCACCGACTTCAACATAACGTTTTGATAGTTTGAGAACTCCTGCATTGAATTATTGAACTACAGATGAACTAAAAGAGGAGTCTGTTTTCCACTTTCAATCCCAGAATCACAAACCAGATTATAAACAACATTCAGCCACACATACGCTTTTTCCAGTTACACAACATTTCTATTATTATTATTATTATTAGTATTATGTGATTGACTAAAACTACGAGGGATCTAGTCCATTAAGGAGATTTTCTTTGCTGTTTTTGATCCTTGGACTTTAAAAAGTGCTTATCTGGCAGCGCCTGCTCCATGTCACGCACACAGCTCTTTAAAGTCCTGTGGAGGTGTTTTGTGTCCGCTCTGTGGGGGCAGTGCACGGAGAGGCTTTTAACTTTTTACATTCTCAACAGATATCGCTCTCCTGTAATACATCACACATCTCTCTATCCTCCTTAAAAACACATCTCTGTCCTCCTTAAAAACACATCTCTCTGTCCTCTTTAAAAACACATCTCTCTGTCCTCCTTAAAAACACATCTCTGTCCTCTTTAAAAACACACCTCTCTGTCCTCTTCACAAACACATCTCTCTGTCCTCTTTAAAAACACATCTCTCTGTCCTCCTTAAAAACACATCTCTGTCCTCCTTAAAAACACATCTCTCTGTCCTCCTTAAAAACACATCTCTCTGTCCTCCTTAAAAACACATCTCTGTCCTCCTTAAAAACACATCTCTCTGTCCTCCTTAAAAACACATCTCTCTGTCCTCCTTAAAAACACATCTCTCTGTCCTCCTTAAAAACACATCTCTCTGTCCTCCTTAAAAACACATCTCTCTGTCCTCCTTAAAAACACATCTCTCTGTCCTCCTTAAAAACACATCTCTGTCCTCCTTAAAAACACATCTCTCTGTCCTCCTTAAAAACACATCTCTGTCCTCCTTAAAAACACATCTCTGTCCTCCTTAAAAACACATCTCTCTGTCGTCCTTAAAAACACATCTCTGTCCTTCTTAAAAACACATCTCTGTCCTCCTTAAAAACACATCTCTGTCCTCCTTAAAAACACATCTCTCCGTCCTCCTTAAAACACATCCCTGTCCTCCTTAAAAACACATCTCTCTGTCCTCCTTAAAAACACATCTCTCTGTCCTCCTTAAAAACACATCTCTGTCCTCCTTAAAAACACATCTCTCTGTCGTCCTTAAAAACACATCTCTCTGTCCTCCTTAAAACACATCCCTGTCCTCCTTAAAAACACATCTCTCTGTCCTCCTTAAAAACACATCTCTGTCCTCCTTAAAAACACATCTCTGTCCTCCTTAAAAACACATCTCTCTGTCCTTCTTAAAAACACATC